CCCCCCCCGCCCAGTCCGCTTATTAGCCACGGAAGAAACAGGCAGGGACTACAAAAACACAGTGCGCTGCTACTGGGAAATGTTATTATTACTAGGACGAGAAATGTGAGCTGCAGACTCCAGGATGAGCACACGGTGGCTCTGTTGTGTTACCAGAAGACTGCAAGAGGAGACGGTCCTTGCTCGGGTCAGGACAAGCCTCTGCAGGATCGGGGAGCACAGGCTCAGGCTTCAGCTCAGGGATTGCAGCTCAGGCTCCTCAACCGTAGCCAGCACTGGCAGCACTGCCGATTTAAATACAGATGGAATGTCAGCCCAGGTGATGGAAGCATTTTACCAATTGCTTGGGATTGAATGCACCAATGGGATATGGGCGTACTCTGTGTGTACTGCATTTGCAGCCTGTTTTTTCATATTTTTCTTGTAGTTGTTTTTTCAAACGTAAGTCCAGGTACCTTTAAAGGCAACACAGAGCACTGGAGATACCGTGATCACAGTCTCAAGGTTTGTTTGGTTTTTTTTTTTTTAATCTCTTCTTCAAGGAATCGTAGAGCATTCTTCCTCTACTGTTTCGCCATTTTGTCACAGACATAATATCTAAAAAAACTGTAGCAGCAATTTGTCCAAATTACCAAATTGAAGTCTACTGGGGTATACAGTGGTATAAAAGTAAATGTGGAGACATTTACTCCGGTTTTGTGGAGTATATAATAGTTTAAGTATTTTAACAAAGCAGATTCAGCATTCACATGGGTTGTTGGATGGGTGGTTGACGAATCAGTTTGGGAGTCTTCCACGGTGGTTGTTAAGCCTGTTAGCTGAAGGTTTGAGCATTTTAATAGTTGTTGTGATAATTGGCTTTTGCCTTTGCTTAGCTTTAAGTTGTATTAAACGAGAATTAGGAAAATTAGTAAATCAAGCCTGGGTTGCTCAAAAAGAAGAAGGGGGAATTGTGGAGACATTCCTGAATGAAAAAGGGCATAACTTAATTCTGATGAGCAACCCAGGGTTTGAACAAAGCACAGAGGCCTATGTGCAGCGTCCTTGCCCCCCCCCCCAAGATAAGCCGGGAGAAGAGTAAAACAAGAGGTGCGTGGACAGAGGGCCTTAGCCAATCTAGTTACAGGACATTGCGCGTGAAAAAGGGAGCTGGACCAATTATAATGTTGTTGCCTATGCATGCTTTTGCTGTAAGCCTATATATACTCTGCGAAAATATTCAATAAACGAGAACGATCATACTCACATTGAGAATGCATAGTTACTCCGGGGTCTGTCTCCCACTCCGACAGTAAATATGCAATAAAATGCTTTTAGGCAAATAATCAGAGGAAAATAACTTGGCATTTGTAGTCGACATGACATATAAAGGTTTTATTATACATAAGTATCTTTGACACACCAATATCCAGAGAAAGCTTTCCTACAAGTAGCAATCTGAACTTCCCTTAGTGCTAGCTGCTGAAATGCAGGGTTGGGAGGGTCAGAACTATGTTTTGGACTGCTTATGCACTGCCCAGTACCCAGTTTTTCTGTATCCAAGCCCATAGATTTCTGTACGCAAGCCCAAGACCCCCATATCTCTATCTCCAGCATAATCCAGATTTTTAGAACTCTGTTGTTCTCTTTTTAGACTGTTCTTATTTGCACATGCCACGTGCAATGCAAGAAAAGCAATTGCAGAAATTTTGGTCTTCAGGGATGCATCCATGTGTCAAGCTCCCCTAAGGTGAATCCAGGCATCTGGAATCCCCTGGGGGACCCTGTTGTCCAGGTCTGTAGGATGTCCAGGGGTCACTGAGGTCTCGGAGGCTCCGGCATTGCCAGGTGGCCCTGGGAGGCAGAAGAAGGAATGAAGAAAGAAGGAGGGGGGAAGAGACCCTATATCCCTATGCTGGGAAGGGCGAGGGGGGATTATGGGGCATCTGTGGGCCCAAGGGGCAACCTGGGGGTCCTGGGAGCAACTGATGGGTCTAAGGGTGAAAGTGTGGGACCCTGGGGGCAACTGGGTCAACTGATTGTAACTGGGGCCGCCAAATGGACAGCGGGAGTTCTGGGGAAAATGGGGGAAAGTGGCAGGGTCTCAGGGGCAATTAGGGAATCTGGCGGAAGCAAGGCAGCCTGAAGTGGTTCTGGGTGCAAGGGAGGGGTCCCAGATTGGGCCAGAGGACAATGGAAAACAGGAGGCCCTATGAGTTTAGGAGTTCTGGCAGTCTATGGCCCCCCCTTGGATACTCAGGTTCGCTCGCGTTTGTAGGGAATCCCAAGGGACTGAGGGTCCAGGGGGAGATGGGAGTCCCATGCTGGTCTGTGGGGAGCCCCAGATGCATGGGGATTTTGAGGTTTACCAGGTCAGGAGGACTCACATCAGCAGCAGTACGAGCGCCATGGAGCCAAGTGCCAGCCCCAGCCCCAGCCCCAGTGATGCAATGTGGTGCAGAGGGGTCCTGCCGTGGGGCCAGCGCAGCACAGCTCGGAACCGAGCCTGGAGCCCCTGATCTGCCTTCACGCTTCCCTCTGACACTGTGGGGATCCAGGCACCTCAAGTCATAGGGCATTGCCCCCCAGGGACCAGGTGTCTCTACAGCACCTGTTCCAGCCACAGACCTCGCCACCCCTCAGGGACTGAGGTGTCTCGGGGTCCTTGCTCCACCCCAGGTGCCTCACTGCCCCCAGAGGAGCCAGGGATCAGGACCTGTTCCACTCCACCTGTCCACCACAGACCCTGCTCACGCCCCTATGCCCCCCATGGACCCAGGTGCCTTAGGTCCTGCTCCACCCCACACTGCTCACTGCCCCCAGGGCACTCAGGTGTCTGGGCGCACCATTGAGGTAGAAGTACTTGCGGACCAAAGGCTCAGAAAGGACCCCCAGGTGACAGGCGATGGTTCCTGGAGTGGGGTCCCGGAGGGTCAGACTGAGAGGTCCCTCCACACTCTCCTGCAGCTCCTCAAACAGTGCCAGATCCTGTGTGTGCAGCTGGGGCATGGGGGAACACATCAGCGCAGCATGCTCCACCAGGTACACAAAACAGCATACATGTGCACGCAAAGGCACCCGCATCCTGCGCGTGTTTGTCAGGTCCCCTTCATGCTTCTTGTACCCTTTGCTTATGCATGTGCATGCACCTCATGTCCCACAGGTGCTCCTCGTGCCCTCTGTGTGTGCACACAGGGATGCACAGGCAGAGCATATGCAAAAGTCACTTCACACACGTGTGTACACAAGTGCACATGAATCTGCAAACGTGCGAGTGACCTGCCTCCTCCTTGCGTGCACCCTTCATATGGGTGAGCACTTGCTTGCATCCTGTGCATGCTTGCACACCTACTAGTTGCAGCGCAAATGTCTACTTTATAAGCAATACCTGTATCTATTGATAGTCCTCACGCCAAGTGCACAACTGTGTGCATGCATGCCTTGCAACCCATGCCCGGTTGTCTCATGAATGTCTACGTACACCCTTACATGTGCATGTGCAACTCACGTCCTTGGCAAACATCCAGGTAATGGGCAGGTTGGGGGGGGTGGCAAAGGGCACATCGCAGTGCAGTGTGATGGCTTCATCTGCATGGGCCCACATGTCCTGCACTGGGAGCATTGACAGGCATGTCAGTTCACATCTGCTCATGCACTTACAGAAATGATTGTGCTCCTGTGGGACCACAGGTGTTCATGTGCTCGCAGTGGGGATGGATAGTCATGCACCTTGGCATGCTCTTGTGGGCTAATGATGAGAATGCCCACATTTGACAAATGAGGGTCACCCCCAGATCCCTGGAAGCACCCAGATCTGGGATGGGGCTTAGCCCAGCCTGGATGCCTGGGTTTGCCATGGCCCCATACCTGGGCAGTCCAGGGGAAATTGGCAGTCCACGAAGCGGCAGGTAGCACACTGGAAGACGCGGGCGGCTGGCTGGTACCCTGGGAGGGAGAGACTTGGTGGTCCCAGGGGGATGGGAGATGTACTAGGGGACAGGGGGTGGCAAGACAGAGGGATGGGCACTTACCACAGGGGGGGATGCAGGCTGGAGCTGGTGGGCGGGAAGCAGTATTAGACTGGGGATCATTGGGCATCCACATCCTTGTGATGAGCTGTCAGGGCTCAGCCCTTGTCCAGCCCAGATGGGGTCCCTGGGGGTGTCTCCAGGATGGGGGTGCCCAGGGTGGGGGTCCCTGGAGTGTAGGCATCCAGGGTGGGGGTTTCTTTGACAGTGCCTTGAGTGGGGGTTCCAGGAGTACCCCAGGAGTCCTGGTTAGGTGTCTGGACCCATACCTTCCTCCAGGTGGCTTAGCTTCACCCAGATTATGTTCACGGCTTCCTGCAGAGACACCTCAAAAGGCTCTGGGGTGTCCCAGATGTCCAGGTGAGACAATGTGCCCTCCCCTTCATCCCCATAATCCCTCCCCAGACTCCACAGATCCCCTCAACCCCATATGTATATTGTGCAGTCCCATATATCCCCAAATGCTCCCTCAACTTCCCCCCCCAGAAGCTGTATATCTTGAAGCCCATATACCCTCAGGATTCCCCAAGCATCCCCTTACAGACCTCCATATATCCTGTATTTCACCACACCTCCCATTCAAGGCCTCCGTGCCCCATCCCCCATGGCCCTACCCCCTCACATGTCCCACATTCCCTGCTCACTCATGTCCCTCTGCTTCTCCAGAAAATGCAGGGCATCCATGATGATCTCCTGAAGTGCCTCATGCTGCCCCGACCCTGGGATCAGTACAGGGGCACTGGGACCGGTACAGGGTTGGGTTTGGAGGTTCAGGGATGGGAGGGTCCAGTAAGGGACCAAGGGTTCCTGGAGTCCTGATCAGGGTTTAGGGATACTGGGAAGGGTCAGCTATCCCTGGGGATTCCTGAGGTCCTAGGTAGGGCCAGAGGGTCCGAGGGACTCCCCAGTGTGTCCCTTGTTAGGGCTGGGTGATCCTCAGGGTCCCAGGCAGGGCTGGGTTTCCAGAGGCCCCTGGGGTCTAGGTCAGGACTGGGAAGACCTTGGCATGGTTGGGAATCCCTAGGGTGCTTGTCTGGGGTGGGTCCCTGGGGTCTCTGTTCAGGAAAGGGGTCCCCAACTGCCCGGGATCCTGGCCAGTGTCAATGTGAGGGCCTTGGTTGAAGTGGGGAATCCCAGAGGGTCCTGTTCAGGGTAAGGGTCTCCCTTGGGATAGAGGTCCCTGGTGGGATGGAGGTGCCAGTTAGCATGGGGGTCTTTAGGCAGGGTGCCTGTTGGGTTGGGTGTCCCTGGGGCCCCCATCACGTACCCACAATGACAGAGGTGAGTGGCACAGCAGCCTGGACAAGGGCCTCAAGGCAATGTTGGTGTTGGGGGTTGTTGAGGAGCGCCCCAGTAATGTCATGGCAGAGTTGTGCCCACTGGATGGGAGGCCCAAAGCAGAGCAGGCAGGGTTGCACCCCAGAGAGCCAGGATGCCAGGGCCACCCACTGCCACAAGCCAGGTCCTCCTGCCTGGATGCCTTGGTTTCCAGGGAGCCAGGGGGCCAGCACCAGCATCAGGAGCACCCACCACCACCTCATGGCCCCAAAGCATAGGACCCAGATGCCTGTGTCCCCAGGGAACAGCAGGGTTCCTAGGTGGAGCCTGGGCGCCTGTGTCCCAAGGGAACAGCAGGGTTCCTGGGTGGAGCCCAGGCGCCTGGGTCCCCAGGGGACAGTAGGGTTCCGAGGGAGGTCGCAGATGCCTGGGTTCCCTCTTGAGAGGAGTGAGGGTACCCAGACACGTGGGTCCCCTCAGGTGTGTGGGTTGGAGAAGGGGCTCCCGGTCCCTCATTTTGGTCTCCCCAAATCCTCTACCGTCAGTCCCTGCCAGTCACATTATTTGGTGACCCAAATCCCCTCTATTTAGATGTCTAATTCCTCACCTTCATCTCCTATAGCATAGTCCTGTCAGCATGCACAGTCCAGTCTCTTGCAGGTCGCAAATCCCCTTCTTTGAAACCTATGCAAGGCTTCTCCTTTTCATGCCTTCATATCCCATCTCATGAATACCTCCATACTCGCCCACCAAGGGGAGCTGCTCCGGAGCTGGCCTGGCCCGCAGCAGAGTGGCAGTTCTTGGCACACAGGGGGAAATGAGGCAGGGAAATGCCAGGGCAGCGGAGAGCCCACCACGTGGGAGGCGCCGAACAGGCTGGGGCTTTGCCAGAGCAACCGCGACCACCCCCACACCTATAAAAAGTAGCCTGGGGGGTACAAGTGACCAGGAACGTGGCAACAGAGGGGGCAACCAGGGCGTGGGGTATCAGGGCATGGTCACCCTGCCAACTCAAGAGGTGAGGTCAAGCAGTGGCTGTTACCCTCTCAGAAGGAGAGGTCTTCACCCAGTGCAAAGCCGGGTCCTTTGCACTCACCAGAATGGATGTGGCAACCCAGACAGAGGTCCTGCAAAAATGTGCAGCCATCCAGGATTTGGGCTGCAGGGAGTGCCAGAGCCTGTTGCTGGTGACAGATGGCAGCCATGAGAACAGCTGTGTGAGGTGGGACTAGGAGGACTATCTGCTCAGCCTGGTGGCAGAGCTACAGGGGGAAGTAGAAAGGTGAAGGAGCACCAGTGAGTCTGAGAAAAATAAACTGGTGGAACCATGCTCTGCCCTCCCTGAGACAGAAACGGGAACAGCCACCAGAATAAAACCAAGATCAAGGGGACCGTGCATCCTCCCCTCGCTAGAATGAAGGCAGTAGCTTAAAGGAGAGAAGTGAATGGAGGCAAGTCCATGCTTGGGGTGGCTGACAAATCCCTCCCAGCCCACCTCACCTTCACAGGTGCCTCTGTACAACAGGTATGAAGCTCTGGATGTGGAAGGCCAGTAAATGGATGATGTTGATGGTGGTCCATCTGTACCAGAGGTGTTGCAAGGTCAGAAAGGCCCACCCCCATATCACAACCACCTCCAGGAGGAAGAAAAGACAGGTTTATGGTTGTAGGTCACTCCCTTCTGAGAGGAACAGAAGGTCCAATATTTTGGACAAGACCCTCCTCTTAGGGAAGTCTGCTGCCCCCCTGGGGCCTGGGTAAAGGATATCACTGGGAAACTTCCTAACCAGGTACAGCCCTCAGACTATTACCCATTACTGCTATTCCATGTGGGTGGCAATGAGGCTGTAACATGTAGTCCAAGGGCAACCAAAAGGGCGTTCAGGGCTTTGGGACAGTTGGTAAGCAAATCTGGAGCACAGGTTATATTTTCACCTCTCCTTCCAGTTGTGGGCAGCAACACTGGAAGAACCAGACAGACCCAGTCTATTAATACATGGCTCCATGGCTGGTGTCACTGCCACAATTTTGGTTTTTTTGATAATGGGATGGCCTACATGGCACCAGGTCTGCTGGTGCCAGATGGGATTCACCTTTCTCAAAGAGGGAAGAAGGTCTTTGCTCATGAGCTAGCAAGGTTCATTGACAGAGCTTTAAACTAGGCTTGAAGGGGGAGGGGGATAATATCGGGCTTGCCCGTGATAAGCTGTGGGACGACACGCAAAGGTTAGAGGGACAGGGTGCTAGTGAGAGCACTCAGCCTGTTGCTCTGAGACATGCTGGGTACACTGCAGCACACTTCAAGTCTTATGGAGATGAGGCAGGGGCTCCTGAGATAATAGGAGCCAACAGGGAAACACCATTGAAATACTTCAAAGGAATTAAGAGGTGTTCCTCTAAGAAGGTGACATGGCTGACAGCGCAGCTGAAGTGCCTCTACACCAATGCACACAGCATGGGCAACAACCGAAGGAGCTAGAAGCCACCATGCTATTAGAAAGCTATGACCCGGTTGCCTTTACTGAAACTTGGTGGGACAAATCCCATGACTGGAGCACAGCTATTGATAGCTACAGGCTGTTCAGAAGGGACAGGTGAGGCAGAAGGGTGTAAAAGATGACTTGTAAACTCCCTGAAAAAAAGACTGAGAGAAGCAGCCTGAGGAGAGAGGGGGGAGACCCTCTGAGGAATGTCTCAAACACTCTCAAGTACCTTGAGATATGGCTGTAGTCAATGGGTGGATAATGTGGCCTCTGGATAATGCAGGCCTTGTGCTCAGAGAACTGATCAGGCTAACACTTGCTTATGTCTTGTGTGACTCAGGCGAGAAAACTCATCTGAATAACACAGAACGCATCCTTGCAGGGGCAGGGAGGAAGTCTTGTGAAGACAGGACTTTCTGCTCAACTTGTGAAGCTTGTTAGTTCTCTGTTTTTGGGGCCATTGTGTCCAATGAACGACCTTTGCCATATTATCCGAGAAATGCATATTAAAGTTGACACCCCTGCATATGCTAATGAAGATCATGCTAAACACACATGACTATAGCTCGTCTCTCCACCCAGATCATGCTACACATCACTGGGGAGGATGGGACGGGACGCTCTATCCCTCTGTTTCTTTTTCTTTTAAAGTTGTTAAGTAACACAAGGCATACCTTACTACTCACCATAATTCATTGTGTATCTGTTGTTAAGTACTGCTTGCCATACTTTGTTGTATATCTGTTGTTAAGTAACGCAATGTGTACCTTACCATAATTTGCTTTAACATTCGCCATAATTTGTTATAAACCTAACCAATTATCGTGTACCTAGTTAAGACATACGAATCACTGTGGGAATCTAAGAAATGTTTTTGTATGGACCTTCAGAGTTGTCTCGCTGCTGGGGATTTGCGAATCTGAGTCACTTCCCCCTCTCTCTTCTGAGTGGGGTGTGACAGAGGGGTGGAGGCCTTGCCCTCTGTGTCACAAAATGGATAGATTGTGAAGAGCTGCCTTGAAAGAATAGGCATGAGCCAGTTGAAAGCTTATGGCTAAGAATTAGAGACTGTGGCAACAAAGGGAACCTTGTGGTTGGTGTCTACTACAGGCCACCAAATCAAGGAGATTGTATTGGTGAAGCCTTCTTACTCCAGCTCCAGGAAGCAACCTGGGTGTGCTTATTGACGAGAAGCTCAACATGAGCCAGCAGCATGCAATCGGAGCCCAGAAGTCCAACCATATCCTGGGCTGCATCAAAAGAAGTGTGGCCAGCAGGTCAAAGGAGGTGATTCTGCCCCTCTACTCCACTCTCGTGAGACCCCACCTGGAGTACTGCATCCAGCTCTGGAGTCCCCAACATAAGAAGGACATGGACCTGTTGGAGCGTGTCCAGAGGAGAGCCACGAGGATGATCCGAGGGCTGGAGCCCTTCTCCTGTGAGGAGAGGCTGAGAGAGTTGGGGCTGTTCAGCCTGGAGAAGAGAAGGCTCTGGGGAGATCTTATTGCGGCCTTCCAGTACCTGAAGGGGGCCTACAGGAGGGCTGTGAAAGGACTTTTTACTCGGGCTCGTAGTGATAGGACGAGGGGGAATGGCTTTAAACTGGAAGAGGGCAGGTTTAGATTAAACATTAGGAAGAAATTTTTTACTTTGAGGGTGGTAAGGCACTGGAACAGGTTGCCCAGAGAGGTTGTTGAGGCCCCATCCCTGGAGGTGTTCAAGGCCAGGCTGGACGTGGCCCTGGGCAACCCGGCCTAGTGGGAGGCATCCCTGCCTATGGCAGGGGCGTTGGAACTCGATGATCTTCAAGGTCCTTTCCAACCTAAACCATTCTATGATTCTATGATCTGTGGTGGGCTGAGGTGAGCCTCAGGGCAGAGCCCAGATGGTTAGGCCCCGCGGCCCCAGTTCAGGCCTTTGAGTGTGGGTGAAGCTGGCGGGCCGTATCCCCCCCACAGGCCCTGGGGCCTTGCCAGCCCCTCCCACCACCCACAGGGTCCTGTGGCAAGTAAAGTAAAGGCATTACATTAACCAAGCAGGGCTGAGCAATGCAGCCCGCACTGCCCAGGACCTGCCCCCAGCAGTGCGTGTGCCTCTCCACCAGCTATTGAGCTGCCTTTCAGCTGCATCTGGAGCATCCCACCACCTGCCACATTGGCGCCGCAGCTTTGGTCCTACGGCATGGCTTTCCTGAAGGCAGTGTCCAGGCTGAGCTCTGCTGTCTTCTGCAAACTGCGGAGAAACAGCGTCACACTGCTGCTATGAGTCCTTGGGACAGGCAGAGCTGACTAAATCCTTCTGCCCCAGGTGGGGAAAGTCACAGAGGCAGGACGAAGCGTCACGGGGCAGGATTGTGCCTGCAGAAGTTACAGGTTCCTCTCTCCCGTGAGAGGGGTGGCTTCCTTCCCTTTTCTTTCTTTTTTCCCCTCTTAAAGGGCACAGTTGCTACGTGTGGCAAAGGCATCTGCCGGGGAAGGCCCTGTGCTGCACCGCCCTCACGAAGGACGATGGGTGTGTGTAGGGAGGGCTGCAGAGTGGGATGTTTACAGGGGGAAACCCTTCTCAGACCGCTCCTCTTATTTCTCCTGAAGAGGCCAGTTCCCTCCTTACCAAACAGGTGCGCTTTGAAATATCAGAGCCTTTGCCGTGCTCTGCCCCCAGTTTGGCACCGGTCGAGCCCACAGTACACATGCACTCCCTCTTTGTTGTACCACAGCAGCTGCCCTGGGCTGAGCAGTCCCAAGGAGGTGAAGGCCTTTAGTCCTTCCTTCTTCTCTCTCGGAGTGAGGAGGGATTGACCCATCACTCCTCGCTTTTTGGAGGGGGAGGCTTTTTGCAGGGCCTACAGGAAAGATGGGGAGAAACTCTTTTGTAGGGCTTATAATGACAGGATGAGGGGTAATGTTTTTAAACTAAAAGAGGGAAGATTTAGAGGAGATACAAGGAAGAAATTTTTTACACTGAGGGTGGTGAGACGCTGGCCCAGGTTGCCCAGAGAGGTGGTGGACGCCCCATCCCTGGAAACATTCAAGGCCAGGTCGGACAGGGCGCTGAGCAACCTAATCTAGTTGAAGATGTTCCTGCACATTGTAGGGCGGTTGGACTAGATGGCCTTTCAAGGTCCCTGCCAACTGAAACTATTCTATGATTCCAAGTACACACTAGCTAAACCCTCGTTCTTGTTGCCACCAATAAACGTGGTTGTCAGCATGAGTAGCGCCTACAACTCTTGATTCCTTGTAAGTAATCCAAAGACTATTCATGTATTCATTTTTACCGTTCACATAAGCTGTTGGCTTTAGCCATGATATCGCCTGTTACCATTCACTTTTGAGCATTTGCACACACAACTCTACTGTGCAAGTGCCTTTAATGCATATTTATTACCTGGGTTTGCACAATTTTGTTGCAACTTTGCTGCTTTCAGATGGTTAGGTCTGGTTTCTTCTAGCAGCAAACCCTGCTTGAAAGCTGTTGATAACACACCAGTGTTTTGGCTACTGCTGAGCAGTGCTGCCACAGCATCAAGGCCATGTCTCCAAACTGTCCCCTGCACCTCACTCAAAAAGGCCAGCAGGCTGTGGGTGGGCAAGAGCTTGGGAGGGGACACAGCCAGGACAGCTGACCCAAGCTGACCAAAGGGACATTCCACACCAGTGATGTCTGCTCAGCAATAAAAGCTAAGAGAAGGGAGGAAGGGAGAGGGCATTCATCATTATAGGGTGTTTGTGTTTTGGGGCAAGCGCTGCGCATGCACTTCCCAGGTAGTGGCTGGACATAGCCTGCTGACGGGATGTAGAGAATAAATCTTTTTGTTTGCCTTTGCTTCTGTTCACAGCATTTGTTTTTTCTTTATTAAACTGTCTTAATCTCAGCCCATGAGTTCTTTTTCATCTTATTTTCTTCCCCCCTGTGCTGCTGAGGAGGGGAGTGCTAGGGTGGTTGGGTGAGCGCCTGGCGGGCAGCCAAGGCCAACCCACCACACTATCTCACTTATATGAAGGCTATTCCATGGTTTTATTTCCTATGTTTCCATTGCACTGAAAAAAAGTAGACCGGCAGAGCCATCTCTCTTATTCTTGTGTTTCTCCCAAATGCACTTTGAGTTAATAGCAATATTTAAACTAATGATAAATATTGCAACAAAGGAAACGATACACTCTAACAGATCAGCTTTGTCTTTCTCTTGTCTATGAACACGTGACTCTCAAATACTTTTTAAGCGTTTGTAAAATACTGATAAACCTAAGCTGTCAAAATTCTCAAGGATGTGTTCTGTTTGATCTTTGGCCTTCTTGGTTTACTTTTTCTTTTTCTGTAAAACACCTTTCCAGTAACATTCCCTTTGATGTTGCTATTCTTGTGGGCAACGGGCATCACAGATCAAGGTATAGATAATAAGCATTTTTTAAGGGACCTAAATTAAACAAAAAACGCCCTGTACCTCAGCTCTAAAGCTTCTGTACAAAACGTTGAGTTTATTTTGTTTTGTAGAGTTCTGCATGTTTCTATAATGTACATATGGGATGAGGGCTTCTGATTCAGAAAAGAAAATGCCTCTTCCAGGACCAGCAATGTTGTATAATAGCACGGAAATCTGCACGCACTTAAGAGTCTCTTCTGCTGGGACACATCAGCTTGTTCGTTTGAAACCTAAAGGTAGCACCTTGCATAGGCACAGGCACAACCCCCAAAAGGCTCAAAACCCAATCAAAGTTGTAGATCCAAGTGCCAAACTTCAGTCCTAGTTCTCCAGAATCTGGATCTTAAGTTTTGATGAAGCCCAATACAGAAGGAAATCAGTTACCCATACAACTGAAGGTCCCACAAGGTTGGACCTTCCCTGAAAATTGGGCAGTTCATTTCCACTCTCTGGACGCTAAAGGCAGCGCTTATAATGGATGCACGTCCCAAGGTTCCTTAAACATGTGCTTGGCAGGGGCAAGGGTGCTCTGTGCTGGGCATGGATGGCAAGGGGTGAGCAGAAGGAGCTGCAGCGGGCCCCGCATGGGAGCGGGGCAGGGGCTGCCGGGGGCGGCGGGAGATGGTTCCAGCTAGCTCCAAAAGAAGTGTGAGCAGCCATCGGCTGCCAAATGTCCGGCAGTCAGGGGAGCCTGCCACTCCCCACTGCAGACATGTTGGGTGAGAGAGGCAGGAAGAAGCAGGGAAGGGTAGAAGGAAGCCCATAGGCACTTCCAGCCTTGTGTCCCCATGTGGGGACGTGGCAGGGGTGAGCCCCAGCCTGGGGAAACCCCTGCTGGTCAGGAGACCGTGAGGTGGGGGCAGGTCCCTGAAGCCCCTGCCCACTGCAGAGCCCCCCTGGCAGGGCAGGGCGGGGCGGGGGGGTGCTGCCCCTTTGTGACAGTCTAAGGTCACAGTGGGACAGCCCCACCTCATAGCGGTGACAGCCCGCCTTTCCCCACTGTGGCCAGCCTCCGCTCCACACGCACTGGCGAGGCCGAGGGGACTCCAGGCGCTGGGGGGGCCCCTTGCCACCCCCCCGCTCCG